TCCTTCCTTCCTTCCTTCCTTCCTTCCTTCCTTCCTTCCTTCCTTCCTTCCTTCCTTCCTTCCTTCCCTCCTTCTTGATACAAAGCTAAATAAAAGTGAAAAATCTGAACAGTATTTCATACTTATAATATTTTGGATCAACCTATTAAGGTACTAAATGCTAGCAAAACATACAAATGCCCACATGAATACATAAATATCTGAACATGAGCACTTTTTATTGTAAAATAAATGGATGTATGAATATACTTGTTTTTTTATAAACTAATAGTAGCAGCTTTATTGATGTGTAGCTTGATAATTATGATACATTTAAAATCCCATACCTAAATTAATCACATATCTAGTTATTATTGGTATATCAGATTCACACTTGCCTTTTCAACATGTATATTTATCTGTAAAAATATAGGCTTGCCCACTGAATTCAATGCTGTTGAGGGGTTTCACTGTTCATTGGAAATTCCAATTGGTTTTATTGAAATATTCAAGCATTAAAATGAAATGTGTGGCTTTTGGAGTGGTACCCATCCAGCTTAAAATTCAATTTGACCTCTAAGAATCAGGCTGATTTTCAACAAATTATGTTGGTTTTGAAAATAATGGTAGCCTCATTAGACAATCCAGCTTGCTTTTAGATAGTGCAAATGTATACCTAAAATTAATGCATAGAAAAATGATGCATTAAAAAAAGAATGGGCTTTCATTGTATTTTGGTGAGTTTGACTACACTTTATTTGAATGAATGTCTGAGTGAAAATACCAGGGGATATTTTGTCTTACTAAATAGTTGTACAATTGATAATTATAATAATCTGATTTTAATACTGACTTTGGAATTGTCAAAGGACCTCAAACTGGGATGATATTTTAATATGCAAGTTTCTATTAATTTTGAACCTTTAAAACTAATTTTATAATGTTTGTAATTTTATCTTCTTTTTGTTTTTTCCTTAATTGGTTTCTTGGATTTTTTTTGTGCTTAGGAAAAGAAAAAAAAATGCAGGGAATTGCAAGCTTGGTACCTTCTGCCAGTCTTAGCTATTAATAACACACTTGTAGTTCATTTTCCGAAGTGAAAATAACTTTCAATTGCTACCCACCAACCAACCCGCTAAAAAGACATAGTTGATAGATGATGCAATATGAAAGTGGGATTCCATCTTGAATGTATGAAGGCACTCATTTCTTTTTAAGCAAATAGTATAAGATAACTCATTCTAGTTCTAAATTTAAATTTAAAATAAATATAAAAGGTTCTCTACTATCAAAAGAAGAAATATCCACTGGATTACCAATTTACACTTTGAACAGAAATATAAGGTATGGTCCTCTAGAACTGAGGTATTATTAATAAATAATCAATTAAATGTTATTGCTAATGATATATTGGCATCATTAGGCTAAAGGCATGTAAATTATTATAAAAATATGAAGCAAATTTGCTTTTATAATATGGGATTTCACATTGTTTAAATTTATAGCATACACACCCATGCACTGTATGCATATATATTATAAAACATTTCTATTCTCTATTATGATTACCGGCTAGATACAGCTCACAGACTTCACAGAGTGAAGTTTAATTTTTAAAGTTGCATAATTCATTGCTTAAAAGAAATATTGCCTAGATTAACATTTGTGAAGCTCCATAGTTTGGAAGAGATTTTTTTCACCAAACTATGTTTGTTAATCACATCACATTGGATAGCCAAGGAAGGCTGATTCAGTAATAATGTATGTGACAAAGTAATGAAGAAGGAAGCAGCTGGAGGTTCAAAGGCTAAGTCCTGCTGAGTTTACACTGACAAACATCGTATTTTACAAATGGGATCTTCCCTGGTTAAAGGGCAGAAGAAGGATTCCAGGATTTGGCTTTGAGACAACTATGATAGATAATTAGGAGAAAACAGTGTAATTTACTGTAGAAAAGAAAATACAGAACAATCTTAATAACAAGAACAATGCAGATCTGAAGATGAGACCAAAATTTAGTTCGTGGCTATTGCAAATACCTGAACATTATTTGCTACAGGTATTAAAATGTCTTGCGACACACAGACATGGACATGCATATAGACATATGCAGTATATACTTTCAGGAATGTTAACTGCCAAATAATAGCACTACGGAAAAAGGAACAGGGATACAGATCCCTGGGCTATTGTTATAAAATCTGGAAAAAATGATGAAAATATCCATGTCACCCAAAAATGGAATTTTTGACTCACCAGGAAATGAATTCATTTTGCTTTCCTAAATCAATTCAAATATCAAAAAAGTCCAAAATATTTAGATTAAAAAGGAAATGCATTGTAATAAACATAATAAAATCATTGCATTTTTTTCCAAAATAGCAATTATAGACTTTACCAGTATGTAAAAAGGGCTGCATTATATGGAGCCATCCGTGCTCATAATGTTCATGAATTTTTCGTGTAGGTAAGGATACTAAATTATTTTAGGATTGGGTAGGTAACGGGCAGATGTTTTGTTATACTTGCAAAGCACACATTTATAAATTAGAAATACATAAAAGAGGGGCTGAACAATAAAAACACAACAAAAAAAGTGTAATTTATTATCTAGGTTTGACATAAGATTTTCAAAGAATGTGAATACTTGAAAAGTGAAAGGAGAAGGAATTGTATAATATACTCCCATAATCCAGGTCAATGGAAGAGCTCTCAAATCTACTAATCAGTAAAAGAATGATTCAGAAATATAATTGGACAAGTTTGTTGGTGGATTAATGACTTAAGTTAATAGCATTAGTATCTTTATTTTAGGCATTAATCAGCATATAACATGGTGGCTTTGTTTTCAGTTACGGACAAACTTCCTTACAAGATGAAATTAAAGACAACACAACTATATTCACTCGTATTTTGGATCGTTTACTTGATGGTTATGATAACCGTCTAAGACCAGGATTGGGAGGTACGTATTGTTGTAATTTTTGAAAAATCTGCAAGAACAATGTTGTTTAACGTGCTTTTTATGCATTTTAGCCATTTTGTTTTCTAGACTTATAAAATGGTAAAATTATTAAATTACTAAATGATGAAGACACTGAGCTTGTCAGCTGGAGAGCCCAGTTTGAGGCCTGAGCTCCATTTGCCTGCCTCAGCTTCTGTCCATTTAGCAGTTTGAAAGCATGCAAATAAGAGTAGATAAATAGGTACCTTCGGTGGGAATGTTACAGCATTCTGTGTGCCTCGGTGAATAGTCATGCTAGCCACATGACCATGGAAGTGTCTTCTAACAACATTGGCTTCCTCAGCTAAAAGACAGAGATGAGCACACTTACTGCCCCTAAGAATAAGTCACAAATGGACAGGGGAAACACTTTACCTTGAAAACATACCACATTCTTTGATGAAAAGCTGAAGAAAGGAGTTTTCTAGTACCCCCTTCTACTTCTGAATTGAAACATACTGGTTTTTCATTATTATAATCTGCATTGAATCTGAAAGCAATGTTTCAATCAAAACAAAACAAAACGAAAATTGAGATATCCATTACTTACATTGCATGACATTCAAATATTCAACTATTCCCTTGATTCAGAAAAAAAGAAGAGGACATTTTCATATTAAAGTGTCTGACTGGCTGCTAGTCCTCCGGACGGATTGGTTTAAGCAGTATCAGTTCAATTCAAATGAATCTGAGGTAAAACGCTCAAAAAGAAATATAACAATTTATTCAGTTCTGAGTCTTACTAACAATTCCTCAATTTGCATGTGAAGTAGAATGCACTTACTCTCAAATATGTGCTTTTTGGTATTGCCTAATTTAGTCCACAATTTTTTAAGCATTCTTAAAAATATGTATATTATGGAAGGGTATGATGCTTGCAAAAGGTTGCCTATTCTTAGATCTGTATGTACACATTCCTGAACATAAAGGGAAAGTAAAACTGTAATTTAGATCATGCATTAACAATTGCATAGCCTTGTAGTTCATGACAGTTAATATCCCATATGGTTCTAGTCACTAGTATTAACATTTAATTTACATTTTCTATTGGAATTCTCCAGTACACTCTAATATTTAGGGGTAGATTTTATTTTATTTTCCTGTTTTTAGCATGTGTGTGTTTAGGGTCAAGGATGGGTGGAAGCATGAGATTTTTGGTGGACATGGCTGGAATAGTCAAGATTTGTCACCCTAAATATAAGCCAATTACAGTGCTGTTTGCAGTTTTGATTATTATTTTATACATCAACTAGAAATGTGAATTTCAGCCGAAAGTAATATTTCATGATCTCATTGACTTTCAAAGGAACAAGAAATCTAAGACTAGGAAAGCCATATATGTGAAAATGGAGGAAATTGAGTATACAGCTGACATGTCTATCTGCTTCAGGAATTATAATTCCTGGAAAAAAATAGCTTCTATCCAAAGATCCTATAAGCTTTGTCTATCCTAAAATGGTTAAAAAAAGAAAGAACAATAATTGAAAATTCAGGAACAATGTAGGAGGTGAAGGAAATCCATGGTATTGCAAGATTTGAGGGCAAGCTTTTCTGTCTTCTTCCCATAAGAACTTTTACTAGATGATAGAAGCCGTTCTGTTCATACAGATGGATGCAAACTGTACCTGCTTAAGTTATTGTTCATTCATTTCTGCAACTGCTGTGCCAAAAGCAAAAGGAAAAAAATAATTCGTTTGTTTGTGCAGCCCTCACTTCAGAAGCGCAGTATGGTCTGTCTAGATCCAGAAGCGTATGCTAAGAATAAAAATAGTAAAAAGTGCTTTCAACTCTCTCACATCCTTCATAGTAATCTAAAGATTTGACCAACTGCCACATTTAATAGTCACCAAAGACCATTACAGAGTTCTGTAGTTAACTAAATATTCTGTGCCTTTTATCACTTTCTGCAATCTATTTAGAATAAGATATTTGATCGAATTGTGTCAAGTTTAGTTAAGCAGTGTTCATCATTCATTCTACTGATCTCTTGAATTTTGAATATAATTTTGAAAGTAAAATGTAAGATTACCAACAATTATTTGGTTGACTTAAAGTAACAATATTTCTTCTGCCAATTTTCTTCTGAAATAACAATGTTTCTGTGGGATTAGTTTAAAAATAAATATTTCTCAATTCCTGATTAATACAATAGTAGCTGCTACATCAGTCATTGAGGAAGAGGCTAATGGTATTATTTAGCACAGTATAGAAATAAATGCAGATGCATCTCATTTAAGAAGAGTAAACAAATGTATGTAAATGTTGTGTCTCAGATTTGAGGATGGACATTTGATGCCATATGATTAAAATGCTTCAGGGCTGTTCAAGATGGGATTTGTATAGCTCTGAATGTAGGACTGAAAATCAAAGGGCCCAGAAAGATATTGGTTCGTGACTATACCTTGTGGGCAATTGAATAAGCCCAAGGGCATCCTATTATAGCTGAGATGGTTTGGAATTCTTCGTACATTCTGGCTTCCATGCCTAAGATTTATTTCCTGTACATGGCTGAGATCAGAGTATCTAATTATAGTACAAATATATGGTTCCTTATTCAAGGTTATCAGACATTAATCAGTATCCATTTCTCACACTTGGATCAGCATCTCTACTAATGGCGGCCATTTGTAGAAGTTTTGCTCACCTGGCATTTATATAAAATCTCTTTTTGCTACAGAAAGTCTGTAAAAGGTAGAATAGATGAGGAATCAAAGCAGAATCACATAGACTGAAAAGAATAGATGGCACACAGAACGTTTTCAGTCTCTTTGAAGATTGAAAGTTGGTGCCTTACTGATGTCTCCAAATTCACAAGCACCAGAGAGATATACTATGCACATGTGATGATATGCTAAAACAGTTTGATTCAGGCAGAAGCTTCCTGTAGTTTTTTATTGTGTTTTCAAAATAATTCCTTATTATCCTTATGATTTGAAAAAGAATGAAATAATTTCAAATGAGAATACAGTAAGATAAGGGCGCTTTCTATGTATATTTCTTTAATTATACCGCCACTGCAGGTTACTTCTAAGTAAACATGTAGTAACCTGAGAATAATCCATAGGAGGGGTGATATTTTCAGTTTTCTGGATGATGCTGACCACTAAAGCATAAAAACAAAATATACACCTTTTAATTATGATTATTGTATATATTAGGAATAAATGGCTCTTAACAAGCTCACCTCCCTAAAATAATAAATAATAAGAGAATATATGAGTTAGATCAAGTGTATATTAGACCTTGATAATAAAAGCTGATTGATCGCATCTACAGTACAGAAAACTGGACAATTTCACAGACCTCAATTTAAAATTGTTTCAGAAAAGATATCTGAAAGAGCTGTGATTGAATCAAGTCATACCTGAATATCTATGTCTATGAGGGGAAGATTTGGCATTTCCAAATCTGGCAAAAAGCCCAAGGTTTGCCAAGTTTATGATGTCTTTAGCAGTTTTTTTTTACTTCAGCCACTGCACTGCAACTTTTTCTAAGAAGTTTTAAGAGATAAACAATTCCATCTCTTTTGCATCGATTGAGCTGCTTGAAATTGCGATACAAATGGCACCTTCTCGCAACTTTGGAAAGAGAGGCTTCTCAAAGCATCTCAGCATGGGCAAAGCAGTGTCAAAACACTATCTCCTTTGAAAAGCTCAGTGCTTTAAAAGCTGTCTCTGGCAGGTTGTATCTATGTGTGCATGTACTCTATGTAGAGTTTTTGGCTTCAGTGATTATGTAAGTGGAAGTGTTACATTCCTGGATAGCATGAAAACATAGCCTGACGCTGTAAGCCACTTACAGAGGGCTCTAAAGCACCATGAAGCAGTATATGAGTCTAAGTGCTATGGCTATTGATATGATCCATTTACTTTGTGGAATTGTCTATTTCTGTGTGTGCATATCAGGACAGGTGATCAGAGCAGATTTGGTATATGAGTGTCTGTATGTGAGAGAGAAAGGCAGCGGAATTCTTTTGACCCTTAATCAAATTTAAATTCCATTTTTCTTTTTCATCTTAAACAGCTTCAGAATTACATTGAAGATCAGTCTGGCAGCTAGAATCATGAATGAACAAATAGGTTGAAGGTCACTCTCTGGTACCTAGGAAACTGACGGTTTTGTAATGACCGTAGGGTTTTATTTTGGTTCTAATTATACTAAAATATGTAGAATGCTGGAATAGATTAAAATGAAATCCTTTTATGTCTAATTTACATCTCATTAAACAAATATCCCAGATTAGAAAACTTAAATCAGTTCATAGACAATGGAAATAATATAAGTTGAATGATTGTATGGCTATTACTGAAGAGATTACAGTGACATTTACTGAAATTCAATGTTACTGCTTATGATTAAAATGAGTATTTCTCCTAAAATTCTATTCTTAAATTAAACACTTCCAGGGCCCTTCTTGGTTTATATGTGACAAATGATAATTTCATCATTTACACATAATTATTAAAGAAAAATCAAACTAGAACTAGGTAAAACACACAATTAGGAAACAAACAAACAAAAAGATGGCTATTTAGACATCCAAAATTTGAGGAGCTACTTTGAGTGCTCTCAAATAAAAGTATTAACTCAGATCAGTTAGAATCTTAAAAAGTAGTTTTATTAGCAAATTGTCAGTTAGGGCAATACCATTCTTCCCTTGATAAGAAATTAATATTTTCCCAAATTCTAAACACAAAGTGGAAACAATTTCTGTTTTTTGATTCTCCCAGGGTCTCATTCCTTGCCCACCCAAAATGTAAACATGTGGATAAATATGATCAAAGGAAGAATAGAGTAACAGGAATTGATAGAAGAGTCTTGATTATTGATATGAATTCTATGTTTTAATATATTTTTGTCAATCAATTTTATGAAAAAGGCAATAAATTATTTTTAAAGTCAAGCTTATTCTTAAACTCAGGATGCGCTTCTCATCAAGAGCATTAACAATATTTGAGAAA